CTGTGGCTGTGCTAGGTTATGCTGCTCCTGTTGTTCATGTCCTGGTCATGGACCTTTCTGTAACACTGGTTTGAGTGTGTGACCACGCACAAAACAGATCAGGGAGCTGATCCAGGACAGAAATTACTCAGCAAGACGGATTGCTTTTTAAATTGCCACATGACTGTGGAAGTAGTTGAGTAGGCACAGCAGAAGGTCTGGTGCAGCACAGAATGAAATGGGAGAGAATTAAAGGGTCCTCAACCAGGACTGTCGATTAAAGAAACATTGCAATCCTGAATGTGTCTGCAAGCTATCACTCTTCTACAACTAGTAGTCTGATTATTGATGAAGGTCCTAACTGCGCTGAGTGACACTTAAACAAAAAAATCAGCACTCCCACCTCCCAGAAAGTTTCCGTATAGGTCAATGAGATGGGAAACGCGTGGTGGAAAGACTCCTTCCCACCACGCATGGCTGCAGGCGTGTAGTGACTGCTTTTCTTGAAAAATGAATAGTGGGTGATTAGTATGTTAAAACAGATGCACACAGTGGCAGTCACTAGGTTTTGGGTGAAAATGTAACTTTTGAATAACTTGCAGTTGATGCCAAGCAGAAAACTAGGAAAGTGTTGTGTGTTTGTGTTAATAACTATATAGCTTCACTTTCAGGAAAATTAAAAGTTCAGGAAAAATAATTTATGCATTAGGAAACTTGCTCTGGGGAGCTTTTGTTCAGGAAGTTTCCTGTGCTACACATAAAGCTGTACAAAAGATGGGCATTAAAACTGATGGTTCATGCTTAGAAATATCAAAATACCATCTGCTATATTCAAAAACTTAACTCATTTTCTAGAGAGAACAGTCCTTCTGCAATCCTAGAAAAAAAACACCTGTCTGCACAAAAGCGCTGGTGTCAGATTAGGAAGTCTCAAGGTTGATTTCTGTTTTCAATCATCTTCACCATAGGAGGGCTAATTAGAAAAGAATAATAATAATGTAATTAGGACCCAAGTTAACTGAAAATGTAATTTTACAATTTTACAGTTTCTACTGGATCTGTAATGTCCAGTAAGCTTCTCAGAGCTCTTATAAAGACACCACACAAATTTATAAATGAAGATGCTTTTTTTGGAGATTACTTTAGTCAGTGGATTCCAACCTTGTCTTTTGAAAAATATGAGATTAGGGGTCAGTGACTCTAAGAATCACTTTTGACAATTTGTTGTAGCATATTTGCATGTGATTCTCCAAACTAAGACATACTGCTGTTACTCCAAATACAGAATAAAAGAAAAGGTATTTTCTTAGTGAAGCTCCTAGTTTTTGATTTCTCAACTATTTATATCATGTTTCTTCTACATGCATGCACTTGTGAAGGAATGTTATGAGCTGGAAGGGAACAGAATAGGTGTTGCAAAAATAAGAGCTGAGAAATCTCTAGCATTGAGAAATATTCCTTGAAGTTATCTGATTTTTAGTCGGTACCAGAGAGCGTAAATCTTATGTGTGACATGCTGAGATGTTAAGTCTGTTCCTTTCTTTGTAAGGTAGCACCTAGTGAGCCTGGTTGCTGTCCTGCTAACTCAACTCTCAGACCACGGTTTTGACTGCTTGGTACTCTACATCTTCACACTGCTCACTAATTGCTGGGAAGGTTGATTTTCCACGGGGGTTCCTGAAAGCTTGCTTTTTATGCAAGTTTACAGTTACATTATGTGCCTTCTGGTCTGTGTGTTTGGTTTAGGCCTGCTCAGTGTTAATGTAATTGGGCTGAAATAAAACCGTTCATGTAGTTAGAAAGCTTTTATCATGACCCATATTACTCTCCTTGGTGTTGTGAAGCAGACTCCTTGAGGTTCAAAGATCAATCTTTTTTTATGAAATCCTACCCATGAAGCAAATGCACCTACGTTGAAGGAGAACCTTATACCTTCACAGGATTATTAGCACTGTAAACGAGGCTGAGGAGAAATGGTATGTTAGCTTCTCTTAAAGTTAGCTGGCGTGAATCTAATAGTGGCAAGTATGGCATGAGCCTTGTAAGTGACAGCAGGTTACTTCAAGTTTAGATTTCTGACCTCACTGGCAGATAACATTACTCTAACTGAACTGACACATTTGAAGTGCCTTTAAATATCTTGTGTTTTTGATTGTTTTTCAAGTTTTTGCATGTATACCTGTGGTAATTATCTGTAACTTCATGTAGCCATTTCATAGCAAGAAGTATGATGGCATTTTTCAGAGGTATCTAATAAATCATGAACTAACCCCCTAATTAAAGTCTGGTAGAAGTCAAAAATGTTTATGCTTGTGTTTCATGAGGTGCTACTCGAAAATTAGTTTTGTGAAGTCATAGAGATTAGTTCTTTGAAACAGCTGTCTTCTAGTGTTTCAGATAAAAGCTTTTGATCTTGAGCAGTCTCTACAAGAGGTGACAGAGAGATATGAGAAAGAAAAGCAAAAGAGGAGATCTCTACATAACAGCTTAGTTGTAAGTATATTTAATAACAGAACATCTTCTTGTTTTGTTGTAATTATGGCCATAATTTCCGTACCTATAAAATTAATGAGTACATTTTTCATGGCTATAACACCTCCCGTAGCTGCATATATATGACGCATTTCTTTGCTGAGGCACATTTCTCTTACAATAAACTTCACTCCATTGTGTTTACACAAGCATCTTCCAAATGCACTCGTGCAACATATAGCCCTGAGGAGTATCATCCATTTTAAATAGTGGTCAAACTTCGAGTTTCTTCAACCTCTTCTCTAAATGTGCAGCTTCTGAAATTGTTTTAGAATTCTTGAAGTGATCAATTTGAAATTGTAAAATGGTCATCTTCTATTTTTCCAAATACATCTAGCTATATCTAGCTGAGCCATTAGTGGTGGTTCATTTGGTATTAATTTTTTCCTTTCTGTACCCTACTCTTCCTCCCCACCCCTCAAATGACTAGTTTTTGGTTGCCTGATTCAGGACCTGGCTTTTAGAAACATAAACCACCTTCAAAAAAAGTTCTTTTAAATTTTTCTCCCTGGGAAAATGAAGCTCGCTCTTTGTTAAAACATACTTACCTTCCAAACTCTGCCCTGTGTTGCAGGTAACTGAAAGGATATTCCCCAAGGCAGTGGGGAATTAATGCCAGTGGTCACAAGTCATCACAGGCAAGCTGTTTTCACTAATAAAAAACGAGAAGAACTGATCATCAACAAAAAGGAAGGGAAAAACACGTTAGGTTAGATAAACTGAAGTCTGAAACAGCCTGCAGAGAAAAATCAGTTACTGGCTTTTTAGTAATGATAACACAATGGAGAGGAGATAGTACAAACTGTTTATTCCACATCTTCCTCAGGGCCCAAAGAAGAGAAATGGAGTGTGCAATCTTGTTTATTGAGTTAATACAGGTGTCTGAAGAAGCTTAAGTAAAGAGGAAGGACACTGAAGAGGGAAAAATTGCTCAGCCTTTTTTTTTCCCCTGTAGACTGGAGAGGGCTACACCATTCCAGGGCTCTGAAGAGTTCAAGGACATTCTCCCCACTTGTGAAGGCAGACTCCAGAGTCTATGGCTGTGATGTTGTAAACATCTACTTTCTTAATTACATTCAGGTCTGCTTCACAAATTCCAGTGTATTTGTCCTCTGCAGTAGTTTTTGTTAAATCCTTCTTAATATTCTCACCCTAGGAACTGAGAGGAAATATCAGAGTCCACTGCAGGATCCGACCATTACTACCTTTTGATACTGCTGCTGGACATTTGATATCACAAGACAGGTAATTTATTCTGGCTGTTTTAGATCTTAGCTGACTCATAATTCATACACAGAGAAAATGATGGTTATGTATACGTGAGAACAACTGTGTTCTTGATTTTTCTGTTTTTATGTGTGTGAGAAGACGACAACAGTGTCATAAAAACTAATTGCTGTTTCCTTTTCTTTCTCCTGCTAAATTGGCTTTAGGTAGTCTCATCCCCTTGTCTAAAAGTACGTCCACCTGAAAACAAAGCCATGGCTGTTCTGCCAAGCCAGGATTATCCCCGGCTTGGCAGAAGCAACACAGCGCCAATCAGTTTAGAGCATATTCGTTCCCCTATACAAATTCTGGAATACAGTAATGTAATAAATGTCAGAAGTTGTGGGTAGAGAAACATAGTCAGCATTACAGTTGTTTTGCAATGCTTTAGAACAGATTTGCTGTCAGCACAAACACTGGTAATTCCACTTCAGTGTAGTTTGGCTCTGCATCCCTACTTACTGTAACTGAAGCATCAAAACATTCCAAGGTCCAAAAGGAAAAGAGGGATTAGATGCAAGTATGTGCTATAACAAGCTGAATTCTCCATAGATGACTAACATGAAAGAAGGTGGGTATTGAAACGTACACAAAGAAAGAAAGAAGGAGGAAAATATGTGGGTGGCTAGGAACCAGTAACATTATCATTTGCTCTATCAGTAAATAACTGACTTGGGCCTTTAGTTTGCTTTTGCTGGCTGGTAATTCCAAAAGACTACATTACATGTTTTAAAGTTTATTATATTTTTTGCAATCTTTAAAAAATGTAGAATTGTTTTTATTAACATCAAAAATAGCAGATGAGAAATTTCAAGGAGCCTGAAGGGGAAACTTGCATCAACCTGTGCCTGATATACCCAGGAAGGAAACCACTCACTTTTTGTTGCTGTATGGACAATGGAATAGTGCTCAGGTGCTGAACTGCAGTGTAAAACAGTATGGACTAGGGAAACAAACAAAAATTAAGGATAACTTTTCTTAATATATCAAAAAGTAATTTAAATAAAACTTAGTTGTAAAACTAAGAACTGATTCTTGAAACACTTACCCACACAGATGAATTTGTACACCTCAGCAATCCCATTCAGCTTTCAGGCTAATAATGGATGCAAGATCGGCACAAATGCCTAAAAAGAGGGTGGTTTTCACTTAAATGTTCTAAATTGAAAGCTTATCAATACAAGCTTGTGTTACAATATCAGAATAATAGAATGGCTTGCATATGAATAAGTCTTACTTGGGTTTGTTCTAAATTTCTTTTTATAAGCAGATTATTTTGCCTGATTGCACTTTATTTTTTTATTCACAATTAACTGTGGTGTTAGTATGTACATGGGGTACAATAATAATGGCAATTCTGAAAGATACTCTTCAGAGAATGTGTGGTTCACAGACATTTTGAGCGCTGAGTTTCCTCAACTAAGAGGAATACTTATGGTTTGAAAGGTACCTTTTTGTCCCCATTGTTGTTTTTTTTCTTACAGGCAAAGAAACTTTTCAGAAAAAGTGGTGTATGCCGCTGATGACGTGAGTATTTGATGATGAAATTCAGAAGCGTGTTCATAGATTCTAGCAAGGGGAAACATGAACCATAGATTTAAAAACAAAAAGTTACTTTCTTGTCAATTGGTGCCCAGCTTTAATGGGTGCAAGAGCAGGTGATTCATGCTATTTTCATCCTGAATTTTTGTAGTAATAATATTTTGAAGCTTCTGCTGGTGCAGTCATCTGTGAACTGGAGGTTGAGTGTTTGTCAAACTCCTGCAGATTCCCTGCAGTCAGTCCTTTTGAGCCACTTGTATTTGCTGTAACTATTTCTAAAACGATGTCAGACTTTTTAAAAAAATGTAATTATTGCAACACAACTAATGCATTAGGAGAGACATATGATATCTCATGCACCACGTGGTACTGCAGCCAAGCATGTTAAAGTGTCCTGGCTTAGATCCAGTAGAGGAAGGAAAATGAGCATCGAGATCACAAATCCAGATGCTATTCCAGCATTAATTGAGGCCATTACCAAGATATAAAATTTTAAAAGTCACAGTAGTGTGAGCTAAGGTCAAAGTATTAACCTGTGTTTTAATTTTCTTAGCTGCCATAGTTCTTAGCTGGCTGCTCACCGTTACTTTATAAATAGCCAAATTATTTTCTATAATATAGTGCTTAAAATATTGCTGAAGTGACCTACAGTGTATTATGCATTTAAATCTCCCAAATTATAGCATCATTAGGCAGATCTTACTTGCATAAAGTGGGTACTTAGAGATTATATATGCAATTAGAAAGCTAATGGAGCACATGAGGAGTCAGTAAATATGTCAGGAGAGAAAAACCAGGGATCTGTAACAGTAGATGCAATGTTCTGAATGCCATGACCCATTTATTGTATCATAAGATGCCACGACCATTCCTGACATATTGAATTTTATTGCAAAAAGATGAAATTAGATAATATTTAGGTTTTGGTTTATCCCATATAAATATCTGATGTATTACAGTGTCTGTATTTTTACAGGCAAAGCAATGTTTGCTTGCTTATATCAATTTATGAATTTTAGTTTGTATGAAGCAGTGACCTGGTAACCTTCAGTATGCTAACCTGTTCTCATGTTTAAAAGTCCTTATGAAATATTCCAGGAAAATAAATGTATGCACAGACTTGATTGTACAATGAAACTTGCAAAATACTAAATTAGTGTTTTTGGAAAACACATTGGCTTCAGTTTTTTTATTGATTTGCCTGGACGTTTCTTTGGTTAAAATGCTTTCTAGTTTTGATCCAACACCTTAAGTCTTTGTGATAGTTTCTTAATGGGATTTATTTTTATTTTTTTTAAGAAAAAAAGAATAAAGTATCCAAGTTTGTGATGGAGGATAAAATGCAACTGACTTTTTGAAAAAAGCAGTCAATTTAGACTAATCTAACAAAAGTAAAGGAAAGCAATCGTTATTGTCTGCTTATTTTACTTTGAAGGTGTTATGCTTGTGGCTAGGATAAATATGCAATTTTCAGATAAAACTACAGGGCTTGATTTGCTGTTGAACTTAATAACGGTCAAAGTTTTTTATTTCTGGAAACAAGTTAATAATTTTCTAGAGAAGTATTTATGATTTGAATTTTATTATCTAAATTTTATGATTTGAATTTTAGTCAAGGTGAAAATGACTGCCTATGATAGAGTTGTTGAGTTTATTAGTTTTGCTTTTTAGATCATAGAATCATTTGGGTTAGAAAATACCTTAAAGAACATTGAGTCCAACTGTTAACCTAGCACTGCCAAGTCCACCACTAAACCATGTCTCTAAGCACCACATCTACATGTCTTAAATACCTCCAGGGATGTTAACCCAACCACCTCCCTGGCCAGTCTATTCCAATGCTTAACAACCCTTTCGGTGAAGAATTTTTTTCCTAATATCCAACCTGGTACAACATGAGGCCTGTTTCTCTTGTTCTATCCCTTGCTAGTTGGGAGAGGAGACTGGCCTCCACCTCTCTGCAACCTCCTTTCAGGTAACTGTAGAGAGTGATAAGGTCTCCCTTGAGCCTTCTTTTCTTCAGGCTAAACAACCCCAGTTCTCTCAGCCGCTCCTTGTAACACTCATCCTCTAGACCCTTCACCAACTTCATTGTCCTTCTCTGGACATGCTCCAGCATCTCCAATGTCTTTCTTGTAGGAAGGGGCCCAAAACTGAACACAGGATTCGAAGTGCAGCCTCACCAGTGCCTAGTACAAGGGCACGATCACTTCCCTCCTCCTGCTGGCCACGCTACTTCTGATACAGGCCAGGATGCCACTGGCCTTCTTGACCACCTTTGCTTCTTTTTTGCCAGGAGCTGTGTTAAGACTTCCTTCTTTAGATAGGCAGAACTGATAGTTGGGCAGAATGGTTGTATGTCTTTTGTGAGGCTGAGACTACATGAAATCCATTTAGTCTTTGAAGGTTTTTTGGTTTATTTAGAGATTTGTATCGTTCTTCAAAAGATCCATTATCTTTTCTGTAATCTTTCTCATCTTGTCTAGAGAAGCATTCTGATTCTAAAAAAGACTTAGGATTTTACTGGGTGAAGAGAAGAGTATTTCATTTCAGTTTTTGAACTACTTGAAGCAGGAATTTGGCCTCAACAATCTCTGTGAGTCCCTTCCTTCTTCAACCATTCTGTGATTCTGACCAAGGATCCCATTTGCTACTTTTCTGTAATTTCATCCATCTCTGGCAGGGTGTGCTGTGTGTGCTAGTGAATGTAGGTGTTAAGACTGAATGAGTAACTCTGTTGTTACCTGGATTCATAACACCAAATGTAGACACTTCAGTGAGGTGCCTAATCAACTCCATACTCCTCCTTGTGGTTGCTGAAGTAGCCACCTCCAGAGGGAAGATCTGAATTAAATATGTTTACCTCTTTCCATGACTACATAGGCACCCTGAGGCACCTGCCCCAGTCTAATAACCTGAAGTGATGTTGGAATCCAACTGCCTTCCTCACAGAAAAAACAGACTGGCTGCTTCTATGGGATTAATTCCTTTCAAATAATTTTGAGAGAGTTTTCACTTGTGAGTAGCTGAGAAAAAGGGGATGGCAAAGAGGCTGATTTAAACATAGGGAAGGTGCAAGGTTCTGCTATTTCTTCAAGGCGAGGCTGGAAAAACACAAATTAACACAGCCAAGACCCTCTTTTTCTTGGAATATAATTTTGTAATAGCTTAGAGGGATATAGCTATAGAAGTTGGAGACATTATCACTCTCCAGTTGCTTATCACCGTCCCCAGCTAGAGATTTCCTCCCCTGGTGCTTACCCAGTGCAGGGAATCCTTTAAGCTCCCCATGTCAGTCTCAGTGCTATGTCAGCTCGCTGCACTGAGGAGCAGTTCCAGTCTCCCTTACATTGGCTCTGCTGTGGAGCAGTAGTCTTGGGAAAGGAGGCAGATATGCAGTAACAAATGATAAGAAGTGATAATAATCACAGCTGAATTCTGTGATCATGTCTACGTCCACTATTCTATATTGCTGATTTCTCTGCCTTGCTGAATTTCACTACTGAACTGGCCCCCAGGCTTGGGGATCTGGGCTTGGGTGTCAAGGCAGATTGTGAATATTTATGAAGTATCCTTTTATCATTTCCATGATTCATACGGCCCTGAAAGAACTCAGGCTGGGAGTATTCTGTGACTCTGGGGTGAAAAAAAGGTTCTTCAGTGTTCATGTGAGACAGCTGTATGGATTTCACAAATTCTGTTGACAGGGAAACCTGATGAAATTCTGTAGGCCAGCAGCTGTGGTGGATATGTTAGGCCATACTGATCTCCTGAGAAACGAAGGACATTACCAATTCCCCTACAAAACTTCTGCCTATTAACAATTCTTTTGTTTTTATGTTATGCAAATAGATTTTTTTTTTTTCGGTCTCATTTCTCACCTTAGGGAAGGCTACTCTGCAAGGAAATTTGATCCGAAATGTGTTCCAAAACTCTGTGTTCTTTTCCTTTCTTTTTCTTTCTTTTTTTTTTAATCTTAGAATTTTTTTTTTAGCCCATTATATAGCAAAGTGGTGTACTCTGTATGGCCGCTAGATTTGCCAGCACTGGGGTGAGTAAAATAGCTCATTCTGGAGAGCGAGGGTTGTCATTCATTAGCTTGATGGCAATATATTGGCCTTAAGAGGAAGAAATACTTGTAAACTCAGAATAAGAAAAAATACTTTTATTAGCCATTTGCATGCTGGACATACTGTTACACAGTCGTTATTTTCTCAGGTCTTTGTGATTTCATTCTGTGGCAATACTCTTCTGAAGGCTGTTGGTTCAGCACTCCAGGCTACTTGCCTGAAGCACAGTGGGAATTTCAGCCCTCCTGTCAAATGCAGTGAACGAAGATGAAGTATTTTGTCTGCTAGTAAGCCTTCACCCAAATTGTTGCAAACACCCACATTTTTTTCTTTACTTTTCACTGAGATTAAGCAACATATGCCATGAGGAGCAGAAGGGCACGGAAGTTGCTGTGTAAGGCATGCCAGACTGCTGTGATTACACTCTGGTAATAGTTTAAAGAGCTGCTTATGTATCTGTCAGCCTTACAAAACTACTATATAATCCATCTGGAAAGTGAATTCCGCTAAAAAATCATGGAATTATACCAATTGTGCTAGTGCAGCTCTTTCTCACAGTTGTGGTCTAGCATGTTATTCTGTGAAATGGGCATCTGCTGTTCAGTTCTAGGCACAAATATATGTGAAATCAGTCTGAAAAGGCACTATGAAAACTGGCCTTAAAACAAAAAGTGCTCTTTTTGCTGTTTTATTGACCTGTGGTGGCAGTTAGAGAGGTTGGATTTACTTCCCTGTAGGTTTTTAGGCACATATGAAGTTCAGGTAAGGGATTAGATCTTTGTGAACTAAAGTGCATATATTTTGTCTTGGTTGTTCCTTAATAATCTAAATGTGTTTTGAGATCTTTTCTTGTGGTCTTGCTAGTTGACTGAAGTACACAGGCTCCGAAGCCTCACGTGTTGCTGACTGCTGGGAAAGGGCCTTGGACTTCATGATTCTTAATTACTGCTGTCACCTGGAATGTTAGAAATGCTAAATATTTCTTTTAAGTGTGTGCTTATGATATTAACTGCAAGTGTTTTGTTTTTCTCTTAGGAAACTGTCCTTGTAAAGTGTAGCCGCCCTGGTCATGCATCAATAAACAAGACTTTTCAGTTTGAGAGGTGGGTAGTCCTGTGTAACAATCTGGATTGCTGGAGGATTTGTATAGTGAAGGCTAGTTTTTTAGTAGGCATTGGTTAGAAGGTAGTGTTCATTTTTATTTTTTTTTAATTTATGTGGTATTCACATTCTTCCCAGGACAGAATAATGCACTTCAGGATATAGATGATACACTTAGTCTTCCCTCTCAGTGAAGACTACCTGTATGGCTAAATTTGATACCTGTGTAGAGACTTATTTGACCTTCTGCACAGTCTGAGTAGCTCTCATGATCTTTGCAACATGTTGAGAGACAGCAAAATGTTATTTACATTTTAAAGGGAAGGAACTGAAGTGGATTCAGCACTAGACATGCAGCATGACTGAGCCAGAAACTGAACTGAGGACTTGCAAGACACAGTGTTCAGCCATGCTACTTTGAACTTTGAGAATGGCCTGAACATAGAATAGTGGCATGTAAATTCCCCAGGGAAAGGCTGTGATGTGGCCTCTTTTGTTACTAGATACTCAAGAATCCGTATAGATGAGAGATATTTTGAATGCACCAGCTATCTTAGGGATTTTACTTGATGTTTGTGACTCACAACATCAGTCAGTCTGCAAGATAGAAAACTTCAGGGAGTCAGGCTGAAAGGTGCCTTGTGTTGTTTTAGAATGAAGCTGACCTGAACCTCTGAAAACAGGAACAAAGAGTTAAATTAATACACATGAGGTCTCTGTAAATGAAAAAATACAAAATTTTGCCCCATGCTTTTTCTCTAATGCAAACTTTGCATCTGTACATTGCAATGACTCTTAGAGCAGGCTCTCTACGCTGAACTATGCTTCAAAACCCTCTGGAAACAGACTACACAAGGACAATTTCATGCTTCCTTGCTTGAAGGCAAAACTTGATTTAAAGTCAAATGTATGCAACGTGACTTGTCTGTCCTGGTTTAAACTTAAGTTTGGGCCTCTTCAGCCTGAATGGCTGTAGGTTTGCCAAACACTGTCATCCCCTCTTTCCTTGAGGCATCCTCCTCAGATGCTGCCTCTTTCTCCTCCTGAGGGCAGGACTGCTGTTGTTCAGGCTGCCAAACAACTGAAAAGTCCTGACATGATGCAAATCTTGGGGAAGTCTCACTGACCCCGTAAGTTATAGGACTCCCTTGATACAAGGCACATGCGACCTCTCAAGGTACTGACGCCCTTGCGTGGCTGCTGAGCTACTCGAAGTAATTCCTTTCAGCCAGCCCCTGCTATTCCTAACACCACTGTACCACCTGAAGTAAATGCAGAATAATGCTAGAATTCAACTCTGCAGAGCAACAAATTAATGGTATTGACACAGGACTCCAGAGGTGCTGTGACTCTGGACATGTGGTGTAGATCCTGATAACCGGGAAAAGGGTTAAAAAAATGTAAATCCCCCAAAGAATGCAGTTCTTGGAGAATGTTTTTTCAATGTCCCAGCACAGCTCTTTTTTATAAACAGAAGAGCATATGGTTCTTATGAACTCAAAACTGTTTATTTTTTTTAGCAGAGTTTTATGGAACTAATAAATGTCAAAATATTTGATTTCAGCTCAGAAAGAAAATTCCAGCTTTCAGCATGTTATACTTTTATAATTTTATTGGTGAATCAGTTAGAAAAACAAAAAGGAAGCTTAGAATTTTTAAGGTGAAATTAACATTAATGGCTGCACAGGGACAAATCTGTCATCGTTCTGGTGAAAATACACAGGCTTATAGAAAGAGATTCTCTGGATTTGCTGCATCTTTCATGATCTCAGCCAATTAAGTGGGTGTCCATGCTTCAGCCAGTGCTGTGATTACAGTGGAGCATAAACTAGTTCAAGCCAGCTTCAAACTACTTCGTCTGAGTACTGATAGCATTTGAACCACAGCAGCTAAGCAGTGGCAGTAAAACCCCTTTAGGAAGTTGAGTAAATATTTGGAGTAGTTACTGTAACATGGGGCCCTCTGAACAGCTCCCTCAGCCTGAACCTCCCATCAGTAGCTATGGCTGTACTGCTTCATAATGCAAAGACAGACTAAGACTGGTTGGTTCTAGCCCTGCTTGTTTGCTTTATTAGACAGGAAAACTCATCAACAGCAAGTGAAGATGGTATTAGTGTTCTCATCTCTAAAATACCTTCTTAAGATTTGGTTTTGGTTTTTTTTTTGATGTAGAAGCTCTGAGATGTTTCGATGTGTTAAGAAAAAAATATTGTTTCAACATATAGGCCGAGATGGTTAAGACAGAGGGCTTGGTGCTAATGAATATTTCATTGATTTCAGATGATAAATGAAGCAGAGAAAAGTGGTTGGAAGCGTTCTTGCTCTCTTCTATTGACCTTGCAGATTTGATGTGCAAAGTTTACTGAAGCATGTGTGTGTATGCATGCAAAGCAAGGATGAAATATTTCAATTCAGTGTCTGTGTCCTCCCAGTACAAACTGTGCTACATCGCTGCATATTTCTTGGTTTCTTGGTGCAGTATGACAGCACATCAGTGGAATGGCAAGACAAGCAGTGTTTGTCCATTAAGCCAGACAAGTGCTCCTTTCCTGATTGAAGAGAGTACATTTTCATGTAACTTACAATTACACTGTGGAACACATTGCCACAGGATGTTACTCCAGGCCAAGAATGCAGCAAGATGCAAAAAGAAACTGAATGCTAATTCTAATAAGATTTTTTTTGAAACAGAGATTCAATTCATGTTTCAGTTCTGAGGCCAGTTTACAGCTTTTAAGGATTAGGATGAGACACCGGTACATTATTGCATCTCCAGCCACCATAGTGTTTCTTGCTCCTTTCTCTGGCTGAAGTAAGCGGGTGGCCTCTAATTCTGTATCTGTTTATCAGTGATCCCTCTGTATGGTCTTATTTATGGAGAACATGAATACAAACTCTACATTTCTTCAGGCTACAGACTGTAGAAGCCAGATCTTGGTCAAATATACAGAGAGGCTTGAGTAAATGCTAAAGAGCACATTGTGTCTTCGGTTAAACTTGTAGTATCATATACAAGCTGTGTGGTACTGTCAAGTGAAGTGTACTAGTATACATTATATACACAGAGAAGTAACTATGCTTCGTAGTGTTTGCTGCTACCAAAATTCCTGTTTCTAATTAGTCATTTTACTATAAGCTATAAACAACATGCATCACTCACTGGAAAGCAGAGCTAAACAAAAAAAAAAAAAAAAGAACCACAACAGAAAGATACCAGGAAAGGAAGATTTTACTAAATATAAACATTCATACCTGAAATACTTAAGTGTAGCTAATGATATTCATGCTTTAGATTCTGTTCATCTTGTACAAACAGTACTTGCTGCAGGCTGTTGTCTTGGGGAGGATATGTTTTTGCTTTACTTAGGATGTCCACATTTTACGATCAGAATTTCTGCCCTTTGATTTCCTATTTTCAGATCTTGATTTTATATTGTACAAACTTTATAGTTGAAAGGGTTGGAGGAAACATTTCTTTGACAAGCCCTGTGTTACCTTTTTTTCCCTTGAATTTGAAAAAAACATATGCGATTGGTTTAGACATCACTGTTTTGGCCTGAGGGTTGTACTGTCATTGCTCTTTTCTAAGAGGTGGAATAACACATTAAATTTAATTGTCTTTCGTTCTGTTTAAAAATTAGCCTGAAATCCACATCACAATGTAAAAGTCTTCCCTCGAGTGAGACATGTTTATTTCAGAGTAGATAGTTCAGCATGGGGTGAGAATGGAAATACCTTAAGCTGATGCTGCCCATAAAGACATCCTTAAACATGACTGTCAGGGGTTTTCTGATTTCTGCTCTGCCATTGACTCTTCTGAGACAAGTCCTGAGGCAAGTTTGAAGCCTCTGTACCTCTTTGTTTTTCCTCCAATCCTTATGCACATTTAAAGGAAAGCACAACCTGATCGCAGTCCCTTCTTTAGTGTGACAAAGGAGATGCAGGCAACAGGGATGTTTCACAGCCTGGTAGATGAGAGAATGTAACAGGGATATCCAGTACAGCCTGAAAAAAGACTCCATCTGCCAGAGAGGCAGGCAGAGGGATTAGAATGAGCTCAGAGAGCCACGAGTACACTGGCCACTCCCAAAAAGTGGGATAGAACCTTGGAATTCCAATTTTCAGTCCTCTGGCATAGAAATGTCAGCAGATCACAAGTTTTATGTCACTGGCCTACATTTTCCTTAGTTTGCGTTTTTGTATTAGGACAACATATTTATGTCTTGTCTTCAGTTAATCATTGCACTTTGCTCCTCAGAGTTTACAATGCTTCAGAGTCTCAAGACACAGTATTTCTGGATGTGGCCCCTTTGCTAACATCTCTTCTGGATGGGTAAGTTAAAAAGTGGGAGCAAGAAAGCTAAAGGGCAATAATCTACTGAAATCCATCCGTTAGAAAAAATGACTTAATAGTGGTGGTCCTATCAAGTTTTGTAGCTTTGCAGTTGCATTTTCCAGTTTTCTTTCTACTCAACACCAAGTGAATGCTGTTTCCTCACATAAACAGTGAAAACATTGTTTAAAGAATTTAGCAGAGCGGACAGATTTGGAGTGAAAAAATAGTTGTTTTTTTTTCTCTGGTCTCTTTCTGGCCAAGTTGATCATTGCTTCTAATGGAGGATACTACCTCTTTTTGTGTTTTGGTAGATTCTGTTTTATAACTGTTTTTCAGTTGTAGACACAGTATAATATATTTTTTACAGCAGCGCATTCACACGTGAAAGGCCTGCCAGGGCCACTCTCCGCTCTTCTGTTATGTTTTTGTGTGCAGCAAAGGCCGTAGGAAGTGATACAATCAATTCCTGGTTGAACCAGAACTGAGCATCCTCAGTCAGAGCATAGTTCTAATGCTTCTTCAGGCACTGAGGTTGAAACAGAATCCTGGTCTTAATATAAAACTATCAGTAACAAACACTAATAAATATGTGTAATAACTTCTAGCCACTGAGTTCATGAAGTGTGATTCTTCATTTATACTAGACCCAACTTAACCTACTCTCATGAGGAAGCACACTTTGTTAAAATCCTCGAGGTTTGAACTGGGATTTATGCAGAACTTCCCTTCTGCTCCTTTCTCACCCCGACTCTAATTCCACTCCAATATAGATGGTTGCTGTAGAACTGTCATGGACCTTTCGCTCCTTGTAGAGGAAAGCCAGTCCCTTCCCATCCACAGTGGCACAGTTGAACAGTGGCAATCCTTGTTCCTGACAGCCTGCACATGGAAGTTGCCAAGTCTCCTTTTCTTAAAAGCAGCCTTAAAGAGGTATTTGAGGATATTGTAAATGTAGGCCAACACCAACCATCCCTTTAAACATGCTGCAGAGGGGCCCACAAGGGCTTCCTGGGCTAAGGGAAGTCCTGTATGGCCCATATGGCATTATTCTAGTTTACCAGGGATGAGTAACTACACTTTGCATAGCTGAGGAAACTAGGGACCACTGTGTTGGAAGAATTTGAAGTCCCTATAACCAGTTTTCTCTCTTTGCTTTTCCTTTTGCAATGAATATGTTTGCTTTGACTCAGTATGTTGCCTGTGTATCTTCAGACATATCTGATCTGACCTTGATCTGTTCTACTTCCCACTTTTTAACTTCCAGATTGAAAGGATCCTGTCCTAAAAGCTAGGATTTTTTATATTCAGTTAGGAAATGTTCTGTTATTGAAAACAAGAGAGTTGTCCCATTTAAACAGAAGCACATTTTCAGGGAAGGCGAGGCTGTGTACGAGCGGTGTTTCTCAGCAGCCTTCCCATTGCAAATGGGAAACAGACATACTTAGTCTGAACTTTGAACCTTTTGCTGATACTTATTGTTTTAGTCTAGGCTCCAAAGTGGTCTGTAATAACTTTAAGCTTAAGTAGGAAGGAGTGTTCCACTCCTTTATTTTTTCTTTATTTTTCTTTCTTAATGAATTATTTCATTTTTCAGTATAAATATACAGGAAGAAAAGATTGTACCACATGCAAAACAGACAAAGTACACTGGGCTTCAAAGTTTGCAGTTAGAGGTACAGGGCCAGCAAAGCAGTAAGACATTTCTTTTCTTTACAGTACTGAGGAATCAAACTTGTTTATTTATTTTAAAGAATACATTTCTCTTCCTTTGATTCCTTTAACAACATTCTTGTCTAGTGATAACTTTGCTATACTTAACACCCACACTCTTTTCAGGAGCAAAATATGACAAAACTATTGGTATTCTAGCTTGATAATAAGAAATTTTCTAAACAAGAATATAACTAATGAAGCAGAGTGGAGGAGGAGAAAAGTCAGGGTACAAAGGTGAATCGTAGTCTGAAATTTTCAGATTGCTCTGTTTGAAACCCTTATGTTGGAACCAGAACACCAACAAAGTAAATTAGATAAATATAAACTAGTCTGCTGCTACTGCTGCTTGTCTTCTTGAATAACCCATCAATTCATTCTCTCCTGTGCCTGCTTAGATATAATATTGCTTTGGAGAGTTTAGCTTGTTTGCGCTTACTGAAATACTGATTTGGCTTTGGTAGAGAAGTTATCACTGACTGATACCTGATTTGCATCTCTATCTTCAATGTTACAAGCACCTGTCCACTTAACTTCTAATCATATTATATGTATCTTGTCAGAACTATTTTGTCCACAATGCTTATTTTCTAACAAGTAGCAGTTAAGGAAAATTTGAATAGCTGGACTATATAAGAGTTGGAGAGACAGGAAAACTACTACTTGCAAACTTCTGACTCCTTTTTTGGTTTCACAGACCTTGAAACAGGTCTAGAAGTGTCACAGAATCATAGAATCATAGCACAATTCAGGTTGAAGACCTTGAAACAGGTCTAGAAGTGTCATAGAATCATAGAATCATCGCACAATTCAGGTTGGAAAAGAACCTTGGGATCATCAAGTCCAACCATTAACCCTACACTACAAGTTCACCCCTAAACAATATCACCCAACACCACATCTAAGCCACACTTAAACACATCCAGGGATGGCGACTCAACCACCTCCCTAGGCAGTCTGTTCCAGTGTCTGACCACTCTTTCTGTGAAGAATTTCTTCCTAATGTCCAGCCTAAACTGGCCCTGTTGCAACTTGAAACCATTCCCCCTGGTTCTGTCCCTGATTACCTGTGAGAAGAGACCAGCACCTACCTCTCTACAATGTCCTTTCAAGTAATTGTAGAGCATGATGAGATCCCCCCTCAGCCTCCTCTTTGTCAAACTAAACATTCCCAGCTCCCTCAGTCGCTCCTCATAAGGTCTGTTCTCCAGGCCCTTCACCAGCTTTGTTGCCCTCCTCTGCACTCGCTCCAACACCTCGATATCTCTCTTATACTGAGGTGACCAAAACTGAACACAATACTCAAGGTGCGGCCTCACCAGTGCTGAGTACAGAGGGACAATCACCTCCTTTCTTCTGCTGGTCACAAAATTTCTAATACAAGCCAGGATGCCGTTGGCCTTCTCAGCCACCTCAATAAACTATAGGCTGGCAAGGCAGCGTGCGTTAGGGGTGGAATTGTGAAAGCTGCTCATTGCTAGCCCAGCTGAAAATTACGAAAATATATGCAAGTAGAGTTGTGTCAGCAGTGAATACTTAGAGAAATCCTTTGTTTGAGACTTAGAGCCCTAATGCCTAGCACATTTAATTTTGCTGTAGTGCTCTATATTTTTGGTTATATTTATCTCATTTACTTCATCAAATCTATGACTAGACTTCTGTTTTACAGTCTGCATCTTGAATTGTGGAGGGACCTTACGAGAGGTTCCCTGACTGCAACTTTGACTTTGCATCCCCAGAAGGGATCCCCAGGTATTTGCTTATCAGGAAATCAAAGGTGTTGCTTATCAGCTCCCATATTTCAAACAAGATAAAGCTTTCTAACTAATCCTCCAAAACTAATTGCTTCTAGGCATGTTTAATATGCAAAAATATTGCGGCAAATATATTTCTCTGCAGTGGCCATGTATTTCATGACTTGAAACCATGGATTTAAAACAATTAGATGAAGGGTGTTCATTGAAATTTGCTGGCGTGTGCTTGAAACAATATTTTTGATGTGAGGAAAAGCATCATATAACCAGAAGCAGCTGTTCAGGTCTGCCCACAGAGGAGGCAGCTTAGGCAGTGAAATTTTACTCCCTGGCAGAACTAGGAGCAAGATCATTCTTGCAGCTCTCTGGCCGAGCAGAAATTTCAGCAGACTGCAAAGCTCTCCTCATGTACGGAGATTCTGCTAATGTTGTGTTTCTCAGCAAACAAGATAGTCCAAGGAAGAAGCAGTCCTGTCAGCACAAGTGCATGTCTTTCAAGAGCTTTTGCTGGCACAGTTCTGTGGGCAGCACCAAGGAGCTGGTAGGTGCTGCCGAGCAGACAGAGCTGAATAGGGACTAAGTTCCAGCTGCACGGTACAGGATTGGTGCTCAGGGCAAAGTGGTGCTGTGGCTGAGCACGTTTTTATTCTCCTGCTTGTTTTGCTTGAGGTATTAACTTTGATCCGACTGTGTTAGAGACACACTTTCTGGCTAGGATTCATGCTTCTAAATTCATATCCCTGCAGCACAGACATCCACAGCAGAGCTCGCAGCCGCGGACTTTTTTTAATTATTATTTTCAGTGCGGAGAGACAAGCATCTTCGGAGTTCTGTTCATTAGCTGTATTTGACATGCCTACTTCAGAAGATGATGAATTGTGTTTCACAGGTGCCTGTTCCTCTGCAGTGACGCTGTATGTTTTCACCTTCTCCACGTCCCTATCAGAGCAGCTCCTACCACTTTTATTCCAGAGTAGTCTTTGCATGCGTGCTTTTATTGCACTAGTGCATTTGGTTATAAATTTGTATGTCTAATTATTAGGGCTGTCTTATCTTTTCCAGTGACCGAGGGCTATGACTGATGAGCCCACCTGAAAAAGACTACGATGGGTGAAGAATATACTGTTTCCAGCTGTTATTAGTGCTGTGCTTTGCAGCACTGTAAGACAAATCAAACCCAGCAACGGTTTACTTTAAAATGCTGTACTGTAAACTGCAGACTTTCAGGAACTGATTAACAAGTAGCTCAATAGTGCACGAACTGGAAGTGGGGCAGACAGGAGGTCTAACCTCATCAGTCATTCCAAGCTAAGCATCCCACTTCTGTCAGTTCTCTGCCCTTTAACTCTGATTAAACAATAAAAATCCATTTAGGTGATGTTATGAGCAGTACTTTAATTTCTGTTAGATTTTGAGATCTCCAGAAAGAAATGTACAGGGCAGTGCATTTCTTTTTTGTTACAATTTTTGTTCCCAAATTGTCTGGAGTTTAACTTGCCACCTAACAAACACATTTGGTAACAGCGAAATAAATGAAGGCCCTTTTAATTTTTAGGTACAATGTGTGTATCATGGCTTATGGGCAGACTGGAAGTGGGAAGACATATACAATGTTGGGACCACAGTTAGAGGAGACCTTTGCACGCTCCAGAGAAGATGACTCAGAACTTGGTATTATTCCTCGAGCTTCTCAAGAAGTGTTCAGGTAACAACTAAGTAAAGATTCATGCCAGTGGCAGTCACCTTAAACTTTATAGAAAGGGTGAAATTATGTTTGCAATGTACTTATCATTACAGATTTCAGCTTCACAATGATTACTATTTATAGCTTCTCTGACTGCCATTGGATATGTGAGTTTTGATACAAATTTCTAGTCTCTCTCCTGCTTAGATTGATTTACTATGAAAATAAGATTATGCAGTCTTGGTGTGTGTTATTGGTCCATCTGTCTTTCAGACTCCAAATTAACTTTTGAATATGTTTCAACCATCGATGTGGGAGTCCAAAACAGGAAGTTCTTACAAATTTTGTAAAATTAGACAATTGGAATAGATGAAGAGGATCCAGATTAGAACCTAGTTCCAAAGAGGAATGATAGTAGAATTTTTAGCCATAATCTGTTCTCTCTTTGAGAATTCTTAGGTTTTTTAGTTGAACCTAATGCAGGATTTGAACTGATATGCTCCTATATTATAATGGAAAAACATTAGACGTTTTTCCAGGTAAGCATATTTCTTTTGGAGAAGAGTATAAACTAAAGTAAAAGGACCCAATTTTGTACCAGAATAACTGTGTCTAACCATAAATATTCTCCCGAATAGATGAGCCTGAATTTTCTGAGCTGTGGACAGAAAACCTCTTACAGGTCTAGCTGGGTAGTTTACCATCTCTGCCTGTTCCTTGCTCACACTCTGCCAGAGTTTGTCACATCTTGAGCTCAGAATCCAATAACATCCAGTGAAGAAATGGTATAAATGGGATAGTAGAGCACAAAAACTGGCACAGCTGTTTGGAAAATGAAGTTTTATTTGCTGTTTCACATATAATCTGACTGTACGTTCTGACTCTTCAGCTTAACATTAGCATGTGGATGAGACAAAGCCACAGCTGTAGATATTTTAATAAGCACTTTTATCAGATTGCAATTAGATTACAATTAAATAATAGATCTTTATTTACAGATTGTTGACTTAGGGTTCGACTTTTACATTTTTTGGCTTTTTTCTTTGTTTTTCTCCAGGCTTATTTCAGAAAAGCCACCAGGAAGTTACTGGGTTGAGGTTTCTGTTGTAGAAGTGTATAATAATGAAATTTTTGATCTTCTGGCCAAAGACAGTTGTGGTAAAGTACTCGGCGTCAAACGTGATGTTGTCACAACCAGAGAAGGAAAGAGCGATGTTCCGTTGCTTACGTATGAGTACGTACACAATTTGATCCTTACTGCCTGAGTACAATCTAGTGCCAGTGCAATGCAGGGCTATCACAGAACTGCAAGATAGGCATCAGTTATCACTTCCAAACAATGAGTCCTTCTCATACACGGAAGAAAAAATTGGATGGTGCTCAGAACTGCAGTTGGCTGCAGATGTCAAAATCCTTTTGAAAATAACAGTATAATTAGTTTTGGTTGTACTCCTGTGTTACACCTTCCACTCAGAATGTCTGAAGACAGCCATGTATTTTGTTGTTGTGGGGTCTAGGTTATCTCATCAGCTGTATAAAAGCAGGTGTAACCCAGTCACAAGGCATTTTCCCTTCAATCTTCCTAAACTATAAAGTTTAAAGATTATAGTAGAAATATATGTATTTCCTGTAGATTTTTAAGCAGCTGTAGAGTGTTAGTGTGTAATGACAGGACAAGGGGAAATGATTTTGAAGTAGAGCAGGGTAGATGGAGATTTAGATTGTGGTGAAACACTGGAGCAGGTTGCCCAAAGAGGTGGTGGAGGCCCCATCCCTGGAGGTGTTCAAGATGCAGCTTGATGGGGCACTGAGCAACCTAATCTAGTTAAAGATGCCCCTGCTCATTCCAGAGGGGTTCCATCCCAACACATTCTATGACTCTATGATTCCCTACATGCACTGGAATTAAAAGGAAAAAAAAGGCCTTTAGAAAGAACAAGATTTTAAGTGATTTTTTAATATACTCATCTTACATTGCTTAGTATTCTGTTTTCATAACTAGAGGCATTAAAGTGGGAATCAGTATTTGATACTGGATATATGAATCTGTAATTCTTGAAAATCCAGGTTCTTAAACGTAAAAGCTAAGAAGTAACAAAGCTTCTAGTCACTCAGTTTTAAGCTGTGTACCTTCCCAGCATTGGTATATGGTAAGTTCAATTTTTATTTAGACATCTTGACAGCACAGGGAGACTTAGGGTAGTTAAGGCTACAGACTTTAATGCTTTCTTGTACTTCCTAAGCATTACAAAGGCTTGTTCTAGTAAACACAATTCTTCTTGTTACATATGTGTAGTATATTCTTGTTTTATACAGAACACTCACTGTGGCTAATTAGATGGTAAAAATTACATGTTTATAACAATTCATGCATTGGTAAAAATCACAGGTTTATAACAATTCATGCATTGGTAAAAATTACAGGTTTATAACAATTCATGCATTAGCAAGAGGGAATGTTTCAGATGCTTCATTTTAGTAACTGGTGTGGTGTTCATGCTAATATTAAATCAACATTAACAAAACCAAATTACGACAGGCAGCACTAGTGGCACCTGAGAGGTGATGCTGCACAGTGGAATGAAGTTACTGGATATCGCACTGTGAGTGCCTGGCATGTGAACAGATTCCAGAAGGGAACATTTCTGCTTGTGCGCTACTGAGAGGTCGAGCAGCTTAGAAAAAAAAATGCTCTCTTCCTTGGGCAAATGAAAAAAACCATCTTGCCCTATTGAAATGTTTAAAACTGTATTAAAGCGTTTTATGTTTCTGTGGGGAAACATGTTTTTCTTCACTGCTCTATAATGATGCTTGTAATGGTCTAATTCTGCTTTTCCAGAAGGAATTACAAGTCTGATATGAAAAGCATTCCCCTTCTCCCCATTAAAGTAAAACGCACCCTCAGTGTAAATAACTGAAGGCAGTATTTTTGCCTTGTGGGACTTAAGCAGACTAGTAGCTGTTTGTTTATGTGGGTTTATGCTGTTGCCAGAAAGCCTTGAAAAAACACAAGCATGTACTGGAGAGTTGCGCAAACATACTTCTATTCTACATAGTTATATGCATTTGCTGACTTGTATGTTCTAGCCATTGAACTGCTCATAGAAAAGTGGATCCCCGGAGAAATTGTGAAGTGATTTTCTTCACCATGGGGGCTACATAGCTCTCCTTTATTTCTATGAAATAATAATCATTGCGATATTCTAAGAAGGATTACGTTTGTATCTGGGGTGTGCCTACTCTTCAGTCTTGAGGTTAAATATGGTTTCCAGAGAAATTCTGCATCCTTTATTGCACTCTGCATGCTCCATAGGAGTAAAGAATGAATTAAAAATGACCAGAGCTTGAAGTGATGAATCCTTTCGCCCTCTCTGTCTTATGCTGACCAGTGTGTTTCTCGCATTCTCTGTTCTTGGATTTCCCCAACTGTGACTCTGCTCCAATTTTTAGCATCTCATTAAGGCTCTTCTGTCACTGGAAAGAAAAACTCCTTCACAAGAGGTTGGAATTGGAGCCTAACTTGTGTGTGCCGAATCTTTCTTGAAGGCACTAATCTTTTTCCTTTGACTGGAGAAGAAATGAACCATCTGACTTAGAAAATGAAAATAGGTGCATATGGTGTGGGTATGGTAGGAGTTGATTTTTTTGTCCTGCTTCATCAGAACCTTCAAGTAATTTTTAATTATGGTATTTCAGTAACCAACATGCTGGCCTAGTTCCATTCCTGAAAAATGCTCACTCCCCTTCCCAGGGGAGCTTTCTGTAGTTAGTGGGTGACCCTTCTCTTTTCCTAGGCTTTTGGGGAAGGGAGAGGAGAGATGTAGATAGACATGTGCCATAGAGAACTAGAAGCTGCAGTGAGGTTTCATTTGTTCTAGTTCATAAAATGGCTGCTCTGTTTATGTCTGTAAATTTTAATTTATGGTAAGGGAACCTGGTGCCTTGAACTAAGCACCTCTTAAAAACCACTTATCTCAATGAATTGATAAATACTCAATTCTAATGCAAATATAAATAGGAATATGGACTTGTATCTCAATTACAATGTAAGCAATGAAAAAAAGTACAATTCATAAACAGGTTATATTAATAATTACACAGAAAGGTTAATAAGAAAAAGCAAACCCAAACAAAGTAAGGGAACCATTGAATGAGGCCACCCAGCTGCCTGAAATCTAAAGTAAACAGCTGGTGCTTTGAATAAAAACACATCCTCATTTGTGATAATATTTCATCTAGAACATATTGGCCTGCTGAGTCTCATTGGCTTCTCCATATATCCATTAAAGTATAGTAGTCTCTTTCCTGCTAACATGTACATCTCGCTAAATCACAAAAAACTCAGTTTCCTTCTTGTTTTATGGCTTGGTTGACTTTGGAGAACATTCAGCTTCGAATTTTTAACCTAACCACAACAAGGCTTCTCTTCGTAAAATCTGGTCCTGGAACATGCAGTATGCAGAGCACAATAAAGTCGTAGAGATTATACTAAAAAACTATTACTATCAGTCCTGCTGAGAAGCTCCTGTGCCAAGCTTGCAGCACTGGGCTGGGGATGCCGTTTACCTCCAAAGTCAACTGCAGTTTCCCTGAGGCCTGTCTTCTTCTGCAAGGGCTGGTTAGGAGACAGCAGCTTGTAGCACTGACCCCTTGCCCATGCACCACAGTGGCTCGCAGATGTCGATTGCCCATTGCTGCGTCCTGGTGAAGGCTGCTTCTCTCTCAGGCTCTCTGGTCCCAGCTGACCAGCTGCTGGAAAACTCAGGAAGGCAAAATCTGCCTCCTTGTACTCAAGCCAAGAGTCAGATCACCCCGATGTGAGGCTTTGCCTTCTCTGACAGTAGGAAGTAGAGCCGCCGCTTCCCTGCTGGTGCCAAGTCAGGCAGGCAGGGGGAACACGTTCCCAGTGGATGCACAGAGGCAGAGATCGCAGAATCTCTTTGGTTGGAAGAGACCTTTAAGATCACCGAGTCCAACTGTTAACCTAGCACTGCCGCATCACCAATAAACCATCTCCCCAAGCACCAGATCAACCTGTTTTTTAAATACCTCCAGGAATGGTGACTCCACCACTGCCCTGTGGCTCAGGACTGATACATGAAGTCTGTAGTGATCACTGAGGTCCTGCAGCCCTGGTTACCCAGGGAACTGCTTTTAGATGGCTGCTTCCCTTAAGTGTCTATGAGCATGGTGTGGCTAAGTGTTTTTCTCTTCTTCAGATGCCCTTGCTTTATTTTCAGAGGAAACTGTTTTAGTTGGCTATAGCTCTTTCGTCTCTAAGTAGGGCTCTTCTTCGCATAAGTTTGTGCCCAATGTGACTGCAACTGAGATCAACCAAATTTAAGTGATGAAGGCCTTGCCTTTTATCTCATGCTTGCTTTTGCTGACTGCAGCCATATGGAACCAAGCCTGGAGCCTGTCAGGAGAGTTATTAATGGTTGTGGTGTTACCGAATATTCAGTAACCTGGCTGTAATATGCAGTCAGAATAATTTATACTCCTGTCTACAAACTAATGTTTAGGTGATGTAACTTGAGTAATTATTGAAGAAGACAATGCAGTGAAAGGAAAGGATAAGCAATCTTACCTCATTGGCTTTAAAAATAGCAACTCTTTACCTAGTCAGTTCCCTTTCTGTGTTAGGCTTTTGCTCTTCTCTTGGTCATATTTGCAGTATTTTCTTTAACTGGGAAAGAAAACAGTTAGTATGAGATAAAATGATATACAGAAAACTACATCTCTCTATTCTGACACTGTGCTGGAGTCCCTGCTCATCGAACACTGGAACTGGACTTTTTTCCTGGATTTAATTCCAAACATGAAATATGATTTCCAACAGCCCACAGAAATTTCTTCTTTTTGCCCTAATTCTGTAGCTCCCAAAGAACAGCAACTACCTTAACATAAACTGGACGACGCCACTTCTGTAGGTCCAGAGATTTCAGGAATGTCTAAATCTGTGTATTTTGTTCCAAAGTGTGGAGGTATAGAAATTTCAGTCATTTCCAGAGCTGAGCCACAGTACCTATAGACCTATGAGGCTGACAGGCCACTTCTACAGCACTTTCAGTACTACATCACAGCTTTTGTCTTGATTTTTCATCTTGGGCTATAGCCCACCTGAAGAAGTCTATATACAGTTGTTTGTGCAGCTCAAAACTGAGATTATTATAAGGCGGTAGAAGAGCAGGAAAGCAGAAATGCTCAGATCCACGACCACATCAGCTTTCTCATGTGATTTTTATTGTGAGTCAATTAAGTCTTCTACTTGTTTCTTTATTTTCTAGGACTGTTGAAAATGCATCTGAATTTTTGCATCTAGTCAACAAAGGTGTGCAGCTGAGAGTCAGGCACCCAACACTGGTGCATGCTCATTCCTCTCGATCTCATCTGGTAGTTACATTGACCATAACCACAATTGTCTCTGGAGATAACTTTGGTAAGTAAGATGTTACTAAAATAAATTTAGAGCCAGTTGTTTTTTGAAAAACAGTCTGGACTGAGATTTTCATATTGCTTTTTTTCCCCCTTTTCCCAGTGTTTACTACATTCCTTCAATTCTTTTGCATTGTTAACTTCTACATACTGTCTTAAATAATAGACCAGTTTGATGTTTGAATGGTACTAAAACCTTCACTTTCTTAAAAACTTTTCACTTTTCGTTACATGTCTTGACTTACAGAGTTCTTGAAATTTTGTAACATGAAACAACTAAAGAAATAAATGTTATGATGTAAGACAGATAAGGTATCAATAAGATAGATGCTCAAATACAGTAGATAAATCACTTCATATGACATCATATATAATTATTCATACTAAGTTTGTGGTACAGCTAACCATGAAGTTTAGGAATCATCATACAAAAAGGAATTAATTTTTTTTTACCCAGTGCCTTGCAAAAATGTCCATTAAATTCAGTCTCTTGAACTGTTAATAACAGGCCACTGTAGGAACAGACAACATAATGTCTTAGTTAATACAGCAAAACCTGTATTTCTGCTTTTGATTACCATACCAAGACTTACCGTTTTATTACTTTAGAAATAACTTTTAGAAGTTAACTGATATGTTTTGCTTATGTTGTAATTAGCTCCTCTGCTTCCAGTGCTGCGATCCTATCTCCTTCATACTCTGCAACAACAATATGGTTTTAGAAAGCAGAAAATATTTAACATTTTTCCCTTAGATCGCTATCAGAAATTAAATCAACAATATTAGCAAAACAGAACAAACAGTGCCCTCACTTACCTATGGGCCTTGCCAAAAGACATAGTTACTTCACAGGTTGCAGCTTCAGTGTTCCAGATGTTATCTCTAGCCAGTTCCAGATTCTTGTCGATCAGTCAGATGTTACTTTTCAAAACACAGTGTGTGCACCATGAGCGCACCAGCCATCGTGTCTAGTTCAGACTTCCCGTTGCCACTTCTAATTGCACTCACCCTACTATGCCACGGTGTCTGGCAGCAAAACTCCACAGAAATGCCAAATTCAGGCTTTCAGCAACTCATATTGCATGGATGAAGATGTGAAATTTGGAGGGGTAGAACAGCACTGCAAACGGGGCCTCGCTAGAGCAGTGTGGCAGTGCATTCTGTCTTGTTTAAAAGAAGAAATTCCTCATTTAAAAGCTGGGTACAATTGTCCAATATCTCAGCACTGGAGATCTAAGTCAGTAAATAAAAAATTATAAAGTCTATGATTGATGAGTTCGGCACCTAGAACCAGGGTTGACAAGCCAGCACTTTTTCAAGTTTGGTTAAGGTCTTGTAGCATTGTATTTCAGTATTATCTGTTGTTTGAGGAGTTACTTAATTTCCTCATCTCAAACTGAAGAGTAGCGAGAACACTTATTTATTCTGTGTAAAGCAACACAGCTGCTCATCCCACACTATGACCAGCTAGCTCAGGTTTAGCAACAACCTAGCTGGAGAGATACAGGGCTCTGCAACCCAATTCAGTCTGTTCCTTATTCAAATTTTGCAGCTGGGAACTTTGTACTGTTGCAGCTAGACTCTTGGAAGGCCCCAGGAGTGTCTGTTGTCTCTGTTACCTGTAGCAGAGTATGGACCTTTTATGTCTTTCAGAGAGGGAGAGAGAGATGGATGAAAACCAAAACACTGAAGGAAAAAAGCAAGACTACTTTGGGAAAGCCCTTTTGCACATACTCTAGCTAATGTCAAAGTGGCTTTCCCAAAGAATCTGTCTTCCTCTTCCTTCCCAGCAGAGGGCGAAAGCCAGATGGTGCTGCTGCGGAAGAGGAAAGATAATGAAGCACTAGCGCAGCTACAGAACTACCAAGAGTAGCAGGTACCCAGCCTGAACGATGCTGTTGAGACTTACCGCTCATCATGTGGTGATGCAGCAGTGGGGTATGAGGGCTGAAGGAAATTTAGAGGGAACAGCAGGACAAAAATAGAAGAGGCAGAATGAAATTTTTTTTTTTTTGCTAGAGCACCAGCCAGCAGTTGATGTTTCAAACACATAGAAACAGACTTCAGAGCTTACTGCTACCAAACATCCAAAATCATCACTTTGGTTGCAGTGAATCTAAAACATAAAAAAATGCCTCTTTGAAGTCTTTACTGGACTCCTGTTTCTTGTTTTCCAAGCAAGAGTGTGAACAATGGCGATATTAGATACAACATAACCTATATTAAGTCTTGTACCAAGTGGTATGAGTGGTTTGATGAACAAAATCTTAAATAAGATAGAAAAAGTCATTCAAACTGCCCATGTAGGTTTATATTGCTTCTTTTAGAATCATAGAATAGTTTTGGTTTGAAAAGACCTTCAAGATCATCAAGTCCAACCTTTGTCTTGGGCCTATCCACACCACTAACTCATGTCCCTCAGCACAACAACTACCCATCTCTTAAACACCTCAAGGGTTGGCAACTCAACCACCTCCCTGGGCAGCCTGTTCCAATGCCTAACAACACCTTCAGTAAAGAACTTCTTCCTAATATCCAGTCTGATATCCAACCTAATATTCAAACTGAACCTCCCCTGGTACAACTTATGGCCATTTCCTCTCATCCTATCACTCACCGCTAGGGAGAACAGACGAACCCCCGCCTCGCTACAACCTCCTTTCAGGTAGTTGTAGAGAGCAATAAGGTGTCCTCTCAATCTCCTCTTCTCCAGGCTAAACAACCCCAGATCCCTCAACCGTTCCTTGTACAACACATACTCCAAATCCTTTACCAGCCTGGTAGCCTGCCTCTGTACCCTCTCCAGCACCTCAGTGACCCTCATGTAGTGAGGGGCCCAAAAATGGACACAGCACTCGAGGTGAGGCCTCACCAAAGCCGAGTTCAGGGGCATGATCACCTCCCTACTCCTGCTCACTACACTGTTCCTGATACGGGCTGGGATGCTGTTGGCCTTCTTGGCCACCTGGGCACACTGCTGGCTCATGTTCAGCTGGCTGGCC